AATGCTCCACACATCCCTAGAGACTAGGGAAGCTATACAGACATGCAACCCAGAAGAGGATACAAGTTGCATCAGAATTGTTAGTGGTTCGGTACTACTGAAAGATTGAGAAGTATAAGGAAGGAAAGCCAGGAGATGAAGCAGGAAAGGTTGGGAGATGCCAGACTGTGAAGGACCTCATAATGTTTGAACAAGGAGTGCTGGCGGTGAAAAGAAGCTCAGGAAAAATTTTGTTAATCCTTATTATTGAAGTATATTTGACCTACAATGTTATAATAGTTTCAGGTGTACAACGTAGAGATTGGACAGTTTCGTACATTATGCGGTGCTCACCGTGACACGTGCTGTGCCGTTCTCCAATGTATCCCCTCCTTCGCACTTCCTGAAGGCAACCCTATCCTGAATTTGGTCGGTTTTATAATTACCCTTCATTTCTTTATATTCCACCACAGTTGTATGTATATAGCATTTTTAACTTTTTATTTTGATGTAATTTCAAACTCACAGAGAAGTTCTTTGTTTATGTTGTGCAGTATTCTCTTGAGGGAATGTACTACCATTCTCACGTTAATCGATATTTTGGTTATTTCCAAAGTTTTGCCATTTCAAACAGTGCTACTATTAAATTTAAACTAGTTTTGACTTCAACACATGGAAGAAGGTCATGTATCATTTGTTATTTAGGAAAAGGTAATGTAAAGATTATAAAATCAAACATCATAAAAGCAAATCATTGGCAGTTTAAATTAACATTTTTATGCCACAATAAAATTTGTAGCAGTCCATCTCTCAAAACTAAATATACTGGACACGGGTATAACTGCATTTTGGATTTGCAGAGTAATTAGGCATTATTCTTGTGATTTGTATTTATCTTCGCTACTCATTTTTCTCTGTTATTATGGGTACTATTAATATGAATGCACCAGTTCAGTCTTCTATAAATTGGAGCAGAGAATAACTTCCCATTGATATCATTGAGAACATTTATACAGTTTTGTTTTGCTGATGAAAGGAGAATGCCCTCTCTGCCCTCATTACAAGAAAAAGTTTCTGTCAGCTCTCTTTTATTTATGAGCTGTGTCTGTACCCACAAGCAGTTTGTATATGGACCCAAACATCGTTATTATTAGAAAATTATTTGTACAGGTATATCCTACTTCAGCTTTACCGAGCAGATTTTACCAAGCAAATTACATATTATAAATGCATGACCTTATTTAATTCTCCCGACTATTATATAATTCTCAAAGCTAATCTCCAGTTAAAAGACTGAACGAGGCTTAAGAAACTTGCTCATGTCACTAGATAGTAGAGCAGGGATTCAAACCCAGGCCTCAGTAATCCCAGCCAAAGCCCACGTTTCTAGCCTCTGAGCTGCACCCTGCTATACTACCGTAAAATAACAGTAATTTCCATTTATTGAGCACTTGGATGCCAAGAACTAACCTAACTACCTTATTTATGTACATTATGCCCATTATACAGATGAACAAACCAAGGCTTTCAAAGGTTAAATAATTTTAGGATTATAGCAAGTATCCAAACAGATGCAAAGCCAGGACTGGTGTCCCTTCAAAGCCATCTCACTGCAATGCCAGTATCTTCTCTACACCTTATACATACAGGAAACAATGCTGAGAATGTCTTTGAAATATGGTGGTGAGTTTAACTGCTTGGGTATTTTTCAGGGTTTCCATCAGCAAATTCATTTGGTCTATAAATCCATAGAAATTTAGAGCATATTTCAGGAGGTGTGTAAAAGGCAATTGGAAGGAAGGGGTACTTAAATATTTACATGCATCTAAAAAATTCATAAATGTTTCTTCATAGTGTTTGTAACAGTTATTTTTGTTTTAAAAGTGTTTGTTGTTGTTGAAGCCCATGTTTGGGGCAGACAAGCTGCATCCAAATAAAGTATTTATGCAAGAAATTGATTTCTCTTTGGGGACCTTGGGAAAAATCAGATGATCATTTTGAAATAGGGATCTGACCATTACCCTTCTCAAAACTCCCCAGCTGGGTTTATGCAGAGAAGTGGAGAATAGGCACCCAGATGGGATATTGTCCTACTCACGATCTAGAAAATGTATTTATTTATAACAGTAGAGCAAGAGTCATTGACCTGTGGCCTGTTTTTGTATAGCCCATAAGCTAAGAATGGATTTTATAATTTTAAATAGCTTTTAAAAATCAGAAGAATGTTAGGGTGCCTGGGTGGTTCAGTCTGTTGAGCGTCCAACTTTGGCCTAGGTCATGATTTCACTGTTCCAGAGTTGGAGCCCTCCCTGTGTCAGGCTCTGTGCTGACAGCTTAGAGCCTGGAACCTGTTTCAGATTCTGTGTCTCCCCCTCTCTCTCTGTCCCTCCCCAACTCATGCTCTGTCTCTAACTCTCAAAAATAAATAAACATTAAAAAAATTTTTTTTTGAAATCAGAAGAATGTTTCGTGACACGTGAAAATATATGAAATTCAAGTTTCAATAGCCCTAAAACATTTCACTGGCACACAGCCAGGCTCCTTTGTTTATGTATCAGTTCTGGCTGCTTTTGCATTACAATGGCAGAGTTGAGCTGCGCAGAGACCCTAGAGCCTACAGAGCCTGAAATATTTAGTCTGTGGCCCTAGTTTGTCTGCACTTGCACAAGAGGGAATGGTTAAGAGTACAGACTTTGGAGTCAGATGGAACTGGGTTCAAGACTCTGTTCCTGCACCTGTAAAATGTTGTGGCCATTTAACGAGAAGAGGTAAACTCAGAAGAGTGACTTAGTGATAGTTGTCTTCTGTCATGAAGAAATGAAGATAGCTAGAAGTTTCCATCTTTCTTTTACTTGACAATGTAATAATAGAAAACATAAGAACATAACGAAAGTGAAATTTTACAACATATACAACTGCAAGCATCTTAGGCAACCTTTTCTTGATATTTTTGCACCTGCCACTTGTACCATAAGGACTCTTGAGTATCAGTTCAGCAATCCCAGTTCAAACTAGCGTAAACAGTAAAGGAAATGGTTTGTCACTGAAACCTGAAAAATATAGATGTACAGCATGTTTTGAACCCGTCACTGTCTATTCTCTGCCTTCTTCCCTGTATTAGCTTTGTCCTCATGCTGGCTTATGGAGATGTGGCTGTAGCCAGTCCAGACCTCTCATCTATATGACACATGGACACCTCCAACCATCGAACCAGAGACGTGAGCTTCACACTGATGAAGCCAACCTCAGGTCTCACACCATCCTTGAACTAGTCACAGTGGCCCTACCCCATTGACTCCAAGAGAAGGCAGGTTGGGATGCTGGGGGAAACCCAACATTGTCCACTATAAAGTCATTTATAAGATACTACTATGTTTATAAAGAAAACAAACATATTGTACTAGTTAGTCCATTTTTTAACTCTCTTTGAAACTAATGCTGCCTGTGTTTTTATTAAGATAGCCCTATGCCACCAAACTCAACAAGGGTGGTTTGGTTCCTGCCTCAAAAATACAAAACCCTAGGGTTATGGTCATAATATTTGGGTCCCCAGCATCTCGTTTCTTCCTAGCAGCATCAAGGTCAACACTTTAGAAACTGACGAGTCTTGACTGCCTGCATTATACTAGATCTAGTGACCCTATCTGGAAACTGCTCTTGGCTTTCCAGCACTGGGATTGGTTATCCTCTGAGTGATTCTTATGTATTCCTACAGATGGAATAGTAGAAATTTTCTAATACTTATTTCCTTATGAGGAAACTTTTCTGGTTTTCAGCTCAAGGTAACAGCTGCCATCTATAAAGTGAATTGATGTGTTTATGTACAAAGAAGCCCACGTAATATTATTTGGGCTACCCATAATGTGGTGTAGGAGAGCTCAGAAATATGATGACCTCCTAATTACCGATAATTGGATTCTCTTTGTAAAATCTAAAACAAATGAAAGTAAAAAGCAGAGGTTCACTTTTAACCTGCAAGGCCTCACAAAGAAAGCCTTAAGCTTTTATTGAAATCAAGCTGAGCCATTAATGCTGGAAAATCTGGCAAAGAGGGTTTTATTCCTATTTGAAGTCTGTGCAGACTCTTAGATTGGCTGGTTGTTATAATTCCACACACTCCAGCGCAGTGATTTTTAGGTCTTATAGTTGCCATTACATACTTAAACATTCCTGTCATGCCTAAACACTTGTTTCCTGAAATGAACTTTCATTCAACACTGAAACAAGTGCCATTGCTCATTGAGACACAGTGAGAATGGAGATGGAGAAATCTCATCGAGATTTGATAGGATTACAGAAATGTAGAAAATTTACAACCTCTATAGCTGACAAATTATGCTTTCACGTGATTGAAATAATCACCTCTCTTCCTCTCTTAACTCCTAACACTGACTTTCCTACCATCATTTATTCTTATTGCTTACAGCTAATAGCCAAGTAAGAACTACAGAGGGTGATGGGGCCTGGAGATCTGCTCTTCGCGTGAGGGTTGCTGACTCTAGAATGCCCTTCTTTAAATCCAAACAGCTCTTTAACTCCCTTGAAATACCCTGTTACCATTCCTCTGGGCAAGGTGAAGACGAGCTTAAAGAGACTTCTGATTAGACCAGTGCTTTTTAAGGGCGGAAGTGAGTCCATCTATGCCATGAGGAAGTCAGGAACCAAGAGAAGCTGAGCAAGGAGTGGGGAAGGAGACACAGGCTGGCTTTGGGGTCCTTTCTAAGTTTAGGATGAGTTAGTTCTAAGTTTCAAGTATTGTAAATTCTCAGGTCAGCAGACATTTGGTTATGCTTTGCAAAGCACTGTTTTGAGTTGTTTGCCCCGTAGCAAAAGTTTGCACAGAACTTTAATGGACTTCTTTTCTCAGCCATCCTGTATGGTTTTGTGGCCATTAAACATGTGGGTGTGTTTCTTTGGGAGGGTGTGCATAACATTTTCAATGATGCATCTCCTCAGAGAGAAGGCTACCTGATGCCCCTGCCTCCTTTGTTTGCCGGCCAGCTGTATTTGGTAACTGGAAATGTATTTGCAAAACATGCCAGCTTATCACCTCTCTCTCCATTCACCTTGGAAGGGAGGACTTTCCAGCCCTCCTAGAAAAATCTCTGCTGCTGATTAGGTTAATGTTGTTAGTTAATAATTTACTGTTTATGCAATCAATGGCATTATTTTTAGACACAAAAGTGGTTGTCTTAAACTCTGTTTGGAATGGATAATATTTATTTACAAATACTTCTTAGTACTAACGCTCCATATTTAAATTACAGAGAATTTTTTTCTTACAAGAAAACATTCTTTTCTCTCCCTCAGGAGTGTTACAGGACATCTCTGCTTTGTGAGTAATCAGACATGCAAATAGCCCCACAAGAATCAAGCTAAATTTAAAGAAGACTTACTTAGAAACATTGAAAAGTGTATCATGGAGCTCAAGGCTGAGGGAAAAGAAAAATACCAACATAGCTTGAATTTACTGAATAAAGTTAAGAACATGAAAGAATTAGCAGAAATGATTGACGTAGTACTCATAGCAGAAGGGGAGAAATTTCCTTGCCACAGGCTGGTCCTGGCTGCATTTAGTCCTTATTTCAAAGCTATGTTCACTTGTGGACTGCTTGAATGTACTCAAAGGGAAGTCATACTTCATGACATTACAGCAGAAAGTGTGTCAGTGATATTGAACTACATGTACAATGCGGCTTTGGAGATCAACAATGCCAATGTACAGACCGTAGCTATGGCTGCCTACTTTATGCAGATGGAAGAAATCTTTAGTGTGTGTCAAAAATACATGATGGACCATATGGATGCCTCGAACTGTGTAGGTATCTATTATTTTGCAAAGCAGATTGGAGCTGAAGATTTATCCGATCAATCGAAGAAATATTTATATCAGCACTTTGCTGAGGTGAGCTTACATGAAGAAATACTAGAAATCGGAGCACACCAATTTCTGACGCTTATTAAATCAGATGACTTGAACATATCCAGGGAGGAGAGCATCCTGGACTTAGTCCTGAGATGGGTAAATCATAACCAAGAATTGCGCACAGAACATCTTGTTGAGCTTTTGAAGCAGGTCAGATTGGAACTTATAAATCCTTCTTTTTTAAGACAAGCCCTAAAAAGGAACACAATGCTTCTGTGTGATGCAGCTTGCATTGACATCATTCAAAACGCATTCAAAGCCATCAAGACACCCCAGCAGCACTCTCTAAATCTCCGTTATGGCATGGAGACTACTAGTCTTTTGCTTTGCATTGGCAACAATTCTTCAGGAATCAGGTCAAGACACAGGAACTATGGGGAGGCCAGTTTTTGTTATGATCCCGCTTCACGGAAGACCTATTTCATTTCATCTCCCAAGTATGGAGAGGGTTTGGGAACCGTGTGTGCTGGTGTCGTCACGGAAAACAACACTATAATTGTGGCCGGAGAAGCGAGTGCCTCCAAACTCGCTAGACAAAAGAACAAGAATGTTGAAATATATAGGTTTGTATCTAGCAAATATTTGTAAATTGGTTTTAATTATCTTGACTCTAGCAACAGTAGAAGGAAATACTTCCCAAGGAGCAATCATATCTTAATTACATGTAGTCAAAATTACCCCGTAATGTCATATTCTACATATGTATTATCATTCATAATGAAATCACCCACATTCTAAAATTATTTTTCTCCTTTTGTTAAGAGCATGCAGCTGGATTTCTATAAGGTAAATGTATATATATTATGACTCCGTTGTATATTTTCATGCTTAGCTTTCATTTCTGATCCAAAAGAAAGGGTGTAATTGAGGGGCCTCTGGGTGGCTCAGTCGGTTAAGTGTCTGACTTGGCTCAGGTCATGCATGATCTCATGGTTTGTGGGTTGCAGCCCCACATCAGGCTCTGTGCTGACAGCTCAGAGCCTGCTTTGGATTCTCTCTCCCTTTCTCTCTGCCCCTTGAACTCATTTTCTCTCTCTCTCTCTCTCAAAAATAAATAATAAACTTTAAAAAAAATAAAGTGTGTAACTGATTAGGTTTTGAAGAGCTTGTTGATATAACTTAACAAGAAGAAAAGTTTATTGATTCCTTTGAGCTGATTTTCTAGTTCATAATTCAGAGGAACAAGTAATTTTTTTTTCTCAACCAAAAATTACTAATTATCTATCAGTTTTCACTCTGTATTCTTAATTTGTAGATCTTTCCTAAACCTCCAATAGTGTAAAATGTTTGTGGTCTAAGAATGCTTCAAATCCTAGAATCATAAAAGGAACGAGTGTCTGCTAAGAGGTAGCATAGGTCTTGTATGTGAGGAGGATGTGTCTGTTTACTGTTTATTCAGCAAGTCTTCAGTGAGCATTCAGGTCTTCAGCTAACTGGGTAAGTGAGAAATAGGCACCTAGAATAAATACTAGGTAGAAAAGCTCTCCTTCAGTATCCTTCCCCTCTCAGTTCCCTCTTACGAGGGTTTGTTCAGACTTTTCAGTGAGAAAGTAGTTCCTCTTCATGGCAAAGTTGGGAGGAAGACTTAAGAGGTCTATTATTTTTCTGTCATCTCTTAACACTCCACCATCTCTTTTGAACTGTAGGCCTGTCCCTTTTTTACCATCATCTCCCCTAGTAGTGATAGGGGAGGGACTGCAGAGCCCTGGGTGAGTGACCTGGCCCTATGCCCATGGGGACAAAGCATGTCCCTGGGCAGCAAGAACAGTCTTACTCAGAATAATCAGGTATAGACTACAGAGCCAGGCTATCAGATCCCTCGGTGTCCCTCTTTTCATCGTAGAGCCTCTTGTACAGGTACCTTGGGTTCTTTAGATTGCTACTTTGCTTCCTCGTCAAGACAGGCTGCAGTTCTGTCATTATTTGTTTTAAGTATACTTTCTTATTTTGAGAGGGACAGAGAGAGAGGGGAAGAGAGAGAATCCCAAGCAGGCCCCGCAGTGTCAGCACAGAGCCTGATGCAGGGCTCGATCTCATGAACCATGAGATCATGACCTGAGCTAAAATCAAGAGTCGGACGCTTAACCGACTGAACTGCCGAGGTGCCCCTAGTAGGTAATTTATTTAAAAAAAAAAAAAAAAAAAAAAAAAAAGATCTACCTTTCCATCTTCTTTAACTCTCCCTCATACTTCAGTTATACAAACAGTTGAGGATATAGGGGCTGTCTTTACACTATCAACCTCTGTGAATGCTGAACCTCTTTTGTCAGTCTTTTTAATGTTCTATCCATTTCTCTTAATAATATGTTTTATACTTTTATCTGGTCCTTTTCTCCTCCCCATTTTCATTTTAAAGTATCAAAACAAAAATCAGATTAGCAAGCTTGCCCAGAAAACGTGTACTTCCCAACCCTCATGGGACATATTTCATCCTTGGCTTGTTCTCTTAAACCATGTCTCAGTAAGCCAAAACCCCATTCTTTTAGTTCTATTGATATACTAATAAATTGGCTTTACTTCAGTATTCCCCCATCCATGACACCTAGCCCTCCTTCCTCTTCTAAAACCCAATACAATTAAAAGTACTGGTGAAAATTCCAACTGTGATTCAAGGGACCGGTGTCCTACCTAGAATTGCATAGACAACAACTAGCATTAAGTTTCTGCATTCAGATTGTGACAAACCAGACATGCCCTCTAGGAAAGGAATGTAATCTTCCAACTTCCCTGTCAAGCCCTAAGTAAGCAGTTATCTCTGGGGAAGAATATAAAAATTGGCCCAGAACTGCTGGGGAAAACTCCTATAATCCTATTAACTGTCAAATGTTTGGTGCAAAATAAGTAGTCTGTACTTTAAAACTGTCCTCTGTATAGAACACTCATAGTTTCATTTGTTTCCAAACAGAATAACTTTTCTTATTTTCCACATTTTCCTGGTTTTGTTTTAGTTTTGAATTCCAGAATACATTCTGGATTTCCTGGAACAGATCTAATTTCACACCTCACTGTCCCCATGAGTACTTTTGTCCATCTTAGACTGCGTGTCCCAAATCATGATTGGAGAAAACAGACTTCCTATTATCAAGAGGCAAGACAAAGGATACCCACAAGATCATTTAGTGACTCTATAATGCGCCACACACACACACACACACACACACACACACACACACACACAATCAAAGTGTCAGACTCTAGGAGATATTGAGAAACCAATATCCTTGTGTCTCTACCACCCCAAACCCTTCTCAGACAGATACACTTATTCGTGGAAGAAATTACGGAAATTAGCATACACCCAGAGCATTAAAGTAGATGCTAAATGTATCAGACACCTACAGGTTCTCTTGACTCTGTTCTCAGCCAGTTAGCACTACAAGAAGAATCCTTAAAATTCTGCATAGCATACATTGTCCCATTAAAAATCTCTGAATTGAGGTATTTTGAGTTTGCTGGAAAGCTGCTTGCTTGAATATGGTATTAAAGTGAGACTTCTACTCCACAGACTAATACATTGTGCCATTTTTTCATTTTTACTTATTCCTCCTTTCTAGTAAAATTACAAAGGATTTTCTGAAAGACTTCCTATTCTTGATTTGCTTTCCCAGAACTAGGAAATGAAAGCTATCACCTATACTTTGTCAGTATATTTTCTAAAATTCTACTCCTGAAGCCAAGACGACACTGTATGTTAACTAACTTGAATTTAAACTAAATTAATCAATAAATAATAACTACCAAAATATATAAATTCGGCAGAGAGATACGGTTAATTGTTTCTATGCACATTAGAGTCTGTTCATCAACCCTTGCCAAAAAAAAGAAGCACAAACCTGTATTACTATCTTACATTAATGTGTCTTCCTCATACCAATAGTAGGACCCAGATCATGTTGTTTGTAGCTGGAAAAGAAACTTAAGTATGTTTCTCGGGTAAGTTGTGTTCCAGTTAACACTAATCCCAGGTTCTCTCTCTTAATTGGCAGGTATCATGACAGAGGGAACCAGTTTTGGGAGAAGTTATGCACAGCTGAATTTCGAGAGCTCTACGCTCTGGGCTGTGTCTGTAATGACCTCTATGTTATAGGAGGACAGATGAAAGTTAAAAACCAGTATCTCATCACAAACTGTGTCGATAAGTACTCAGTAGAACGGGACAGTTGGAGAAGGGTGTCTCCCCTCCCACTGCAGTTGGCGTGCCATGCCGTAGTCACGGTGAATAATAAACTTTACGTGATCGGAGGCTGGACCCCTCAGGTTAAGAAATTTCCTGCATCCCTAACTGGCATGGCCGTGCCGCGTCTGGTTGCTGTGTTGAAAAATGTACTCGTGGAACACTAAAAGAGCATGACTTATATTTGGGTAAAATGCCTTTTACTTTATAGAATATCAAACTTAAGATTGTAAAGTGTTAAAGCATTTTAGGGGAATGAATTTTAAAGTGTGTTATTCATAGATATGACTTCATTCAGTATTCATGCTATGCTCTTTATAATCCTTCCCATTCTTGCTAATTATGAAAGATGCTTATGCTGAGGAATTATCTGTGGGGAGCATCTAAGTTAGAGGCAGAGAAGCTGGATCTTCATGCTGCTTCTGTCTGCTCAATAGTTGTGTGAGCCAAGGCCAAGTAACTCTGAGGTCTCTTCTAAATATAAAGCTCTTACGCTAACCAGGAAGCCGGAATACCCAACCTGTGATGGTACGATCATTGCCACAAAAGTATATTGTCATTGGAAACACTTCATGTCTTTGCTGGGCACCAGCAGATACCGTTTGCGGTAAAGCCCTGCGAGGAGATACACGCCGAGATGGCAAAGTCAGTAGAGTGTGACCATAGCGGCCCTTCCTTCTCTCCGTGGCCGTCCCTCCCAGTGCCCTGAGCTCTCACAGCAGTAACATGCCAGCTGCCTTCTGCCTTGGCCTGCGGGTCTTCCTTGTAAAAACTCTTCTCCGTAGCTCACTGTCCATCCTCATATCAAAAAGTCAACCTCTTTCAGCCTGTAAGATTTCTTGTTTTGGAAATTCGCCTTGTGATCAAACTGATGCTTTTTGCATTCATTTCACGAGCTTGGATTTTGCCATTTATCATACCTGTTTTTAAAACTTAAACTCCGCATTTAATGCTTCGTGAAATTTGTGCTGTGTGTCAAGAAGCAGTACAGATTTAATCACAGCTAGTAGCCGAGACCTGACTGATTATGTGTAGTTAAGCTTTTCAGAGCTATCCATTTTATAGTTAATATTGCATGAATAAGCTCCAAAGACAACATAGAAGCTTTTCTTTGGTTTTCTTCCCACTAAAATAAAGATCAAATACTTAAAAATGAGAAGGAAAATTAAAACAGTAAAGTCAACAATGTTCCTGTATAACATCTTCACACAAATGGCACATGAATATTTACCGTATAACAAAAGCATTTGCAGGGCTGTAACTACAGAGCATTAAACTGCAAGCTCACGTGGGTTCGTGATTGTATCACAGTGATCATAACCCCTGGTGGATTTAAAGTAATTAAATTAATTACAACTTTCATAAGTATGGCAATTATTTCTATATCAAACACCTGCATCCAAAACAAAAGCCATTTAAGCATCCTTAGACTGAGGCCATAAAAGTTCTTGACACATTGAAGACAAAACACGTCACTTCACCTAAAGTTTATGATTAGGGGAAGCCATATTCTTGTGTGTAAGAATAAACAGTTCAATTTTTACTGTTTCTAGTCATTAAAAATGTATGTAAATAAATACATTAAAATAACTGCAAATAATTTGTATTAATCCATAAATCTTAAAAATTGAGTTCAGACCATTCCCATATAGGTCGTAATTATAGTGTAAAAATACTCTAATGATTAAAACACTAAAACGTTTTTATAATTTCATTCCATTTGGATTAGAAGAATATTAAAAAGAAAAATGCCTTATGAATTATTAAAATTAGTCTCTTGCAAATATTATTAAACTCTAGCCCAATAACGTTTGCGGAAATAAAATTACACTTTAAATACTGTTCAAGAAAGTTTGGTTTCATTTTTAAGGCTCTGCCATCACTTCATTTTCTAAAAAATGCTGTCTTGTCTCATTGCTAAGATCACAGATTGTTTGCTGTAGGCCGACACCCTAGCTCCATTATTACAGAACATAAATTCCTCTGACATTGACAGAGTCCTCATCACCCCAAGTCACGGGATCTGGTGTGTTTGTGAGTGTGAGTCACAACAGCTAACTTCTATTCATCTCCTTGGCTGTCTGCTTTGATTAATTGCACTCATGCACTCACAGAGATTTCTAAATGGTATGTTATTACATCAGCTGTCATATTTCACACAGATGGATCTTCCTGATGAAGAACCAGATCGACTAAGCAACCGACTGTTGCAGTATGACCCCAGCCAAGATCAATGGACAGAGCGGGCGCCCATGAAGTTCTCTAAGTACCGATTCAGTACAGCCGTAGTCAACAGTGAGATTTATGTTTTGGGTAAGAAGAAGCAGATTGCTAAAAGAATATAACTACTTTTATTTTCCTGAGCAGTTCACCTCAGTAAAAATGACATATTCTTCCTTCCTCTTGCATCCCAGTTCAGATGTATCTATAACTAGCCAAAAATGTTCTTTTGTTTCTTGTTTTTCTAGTGCAGTCAGATAAGATTAAATGAAAGTCCACTGACTTATTGAAAGCAAAATTATTTGTATGGAATTTTCAGGTCCCTTGGAATGCAAGAACAGTAGTGATACATCTTTATATATACTATCAACTAAAATATTTTGAAATGGGAATAAGCCTTTGGCCACCTTTAGTTGATGAAATGTGGGTTTTAGCAACCTTGATTGTCTCTGCTTATAGAAGATTCAGCCACTATAGGTAAGACACCAGTTATGCCAACCCTCTTCATTTTGCCTCACCTACCAAATTCCTGTAGAGGTATTATCAAATAATTCTCATCTGAATGCATTTTTTTCTTATGTCCTAAATATGTGTGGTCTTGTCCTAACCAGTAGGGAATGGTATAAGACTGGTTCATACCCACTAAAGTGGGTAGAAATTCTAGAACATCTCCTAAGTTTCCCCTCTTCTTCACTTCTTGTTTTTTCCTCTTTTATTATGTCCTTGGCTCTTCTAAACAGATTCCATCACTTCCTCTCCCTCTCCCACTGTCCTGCTCCTGTGTGGGAAAGGGTGAGACTGGGACAAGGAAGCGGACTTGGCTGGTAAACTGATAAGTATGCCAGTATTGTTTATGTCATCTCATCCACATTGATGACTAACTGGAAAAAACACAGGGAAGGTGATGGGTACCAAAGAGATGGCAAAGAAAAAACACGAGATATGGGCTCAGAGCAAACCAAGCATTTGAATAGCTTTTTTTTTTTTTTTTTTTTTTGCTAAAAGGAAGCCATTATCTCTTGGCTGCCTGCACAGCATGAAGCAAAATAATTAATGCACTCAAATATTAATAGTTTTATAATTTTAAGAACATTATGCAACATAATTTACAACTACCTCAGTTATGAGACTCGTAATTATAATCAAGTTTTTCCTCTGGAAATATATCTGTTACTTGGTAATAACCATATGCTGTGTCATAGGCCCAGAAGAGACCATATCTAAACTAGAATAGATTGCCTAGGACAGATGTATAACTCTGGGGAGGGAAGGGCCGATCTCCTAATTATATTAAAGTTGGAAGCAGTCAAAAGAGGGATAAAAGTGATGTATCAATTGAACAAAAATGAGATTTCCCCTAATGTGGAGCCACGACTAGGCTAGATGTGGGATAAAAATGTAAATTTTTGTTTGTTTTTTGGGTAAGTTAGATGGGGAAAAGGAACCTTAGAGACAAATTTTGGAGCTTATGCTTCTTGGCACAAACAAATGTCCACAGCTGAATGAAAGGAGGTAGATGTTAAAGGACCCGTAAGATTTGGGTAGGTGAGGAGAGAAAAGAGCCCACCCGGGAAGAGAGATCATGTGGAGGGGCAGGAAAGAAAATGAGTAGGGAGAAAGCATAAGCAGAGGTTTGGAGGTGAGAATGAAGGTAGTAAGAATAGAGAATGGAAGGAGAGTGAGTAAATGAGCCTACCAGGAGCAGGGAACTGTGGGAGATAGAGAATTTACAGGTAAGTTGGGAGCCAGTTACAAAGGCCTATAGTAGAGAATTGAGAATAGTAATAAGTAGTGAGAAACCATGCAGAAGCAACATGATTAAAGAATGTTTGGGGAATGTTGGTGAGGCAAGGATTAGAGAACAGATCAATGGTGAGAAGAAACTAGATATGGAAAAGACCAGTCAGGAAAGCTTTTGTAGTAACTTAGAATCTAGTTTCTGAATATTCAGAACTGAGAACCGGTCTCATAATCACTCAAATGAAAGTCACCCACTTGTAAGATTCAAACCAAAAAGGCAACGTTCCCACCATTCGCTACTTAATACCCAAATATACTTATCAGCTTTGAAATGGAATGAAGTTCAGCTGTTTAAGGACTTTTGTGGTAGCCTTAGTTCAAATATCATTGTTTATAGTATGTGTAACTGGAATTTGGGCAAATACCATATAGAACCCTAAAACCTTATCAGTGTCAATGGTTCACACAGGAGCCTTACAGTCATTTGTTACTTGTTTTAGCGAAAGCCCTGTCTGCTTTTGGGAATCTATATGTGCCCCACTGTGATGGGGGTCACTGCCAGTTACTATAACAATAATCCCTCCCCCTGATACCTGTAATAGACTTAATTTCTTACTATCTCCTAGTTAGTCTAGAGGCTACCCCAAAATAACAACCTCTGAAATCTCCTTTACCATAGAAGCAGTGTGGTAAAGTGGGGAAGGTACCAGCTTTGGAATTGAGTAGATTTGGATTGAGATCCTGACTCTACCATTTATTACTTACATGTCCTTGGCCTAGTAAATACATGTATATTTTTTTGCTAACATTAAAATTGGAATGCCTACCTCTTATTAGAGTCAAAATTAAATAAAACAAGGTATGTAAAATCCCTACAATGTAAGTATTCAGACATTATTATAACTACTGTATTTTTTTAGCTCCTTTCTGTTACAGACACTTTGCTGAATTCTTTGCATAAAGAAATTCACTTAATGCTTATAAAAAACTGATACAGTATTAACTCTCCTGTATGGAACACTAGATATCTAGACTATCTAGGTATTTCCCAGTGGAAATACCAAAAAAATGTTGAGAAAACATGTTTTAAATTTTCTGAGAAGCTTCTGCACTTTGTGTGGCAGTAAGAATTTAGCAGGCCAACAGCAAAGTGAAAGCAGGAGGCTTCCGGCTATTGAAGAAGTGAATGAGCTGACATCCTCTCCTCAATAAGCAATTATAAAACCAGGGTTTTGGAAACAACCCTATCAGGTCTCTAGAAACCAACCAAAGATAACAAATTGAGAAGAGCTTCTCTTCTCAAAACTGCTGAACTTGACATGAGTCTTCAGAGGCAATCCTTGGCATTCTTTCCTGAGCTGCCCCAATTTCCCGCCCCACTTGATTCAGCCCGATGCTTCTACCAAACTGGGCTACCTATGAAAACTAGCATCTCTGTTTG